GCACGCTCCATGGTACAGTCAGTTACCTTGTGATCTCTTGTAATAAGCCAGGTTAAGTTAAATGCAAATACGTAACTTTAATTACCAAATCCAGAACAGGCAGAGCTGCAGAGCCTGTAAGAACATGCAAGAGAAACGAAAGGCGGTGGAAAGGAAACACATCTTTTTGTCGTACCTAAGTCAGCTCTGAACAGTTCTGGCTGTAGGACCCTAGGTCTTGCCCAGTTCTACACCCTCAGACTGCAGTCCCACAATGACCCCCTGAAAACCTGTCTCAGTCCATACCTACACTGAAAACAGACCTACAGATGACCTGAAGTTCCTTCAAGCCTCTCAGGTGTTCAACTTCTCCTTCACCAAACTGTTGTTCCTCCTAGATACCCTAACTATCTGTGGCTTTCCTGGTTTCCCAAACAGAAAGCACATGATTATTGCTGTCTGGTTAAGCCATTAGTGGGTTGGTTAAATCACGGTGAGACAACCTCTCGACCCACCTGGATGGGAAAGGTTCCAGTCCTAGAGCCAAGGCTTTTCCCCTGCCTGCAGCCCTCACTCCAGACACGCGCTCTGTGTCCGTAATTTGGTAATGGCACTTTTATATGGTGAGATAACACAGGCAGCTCCCCACTGCCCAGACGTGATGGCAGCCAATCATCCTGAGCTAATACCAACCTTGGGAGCCTGATCTCCCATGTCTGCCTTTCAGCAGCCGGCGGTGGCGCGGCAGGCAGCCCGCCAGAGAGAGACCCAAATTCATAACCAAACAGGCTGCTCTTAGCGAGATGGCCCTGTGGTTTCTCTTTAGTTTTGCTTATGCTCTTTTCTAAACAATGGAGACTGAGCTGCCAAAAAGCCTTCTGTTGGATAACTCTGTACACACAAGTGTACAGTTAAACCAATCCAAGTGAAGAGGCTACAATAATTGTAAGTTTTCTGGGCCAAAACTCTTTAATTTGCCTTATACTCATTGCCGCTTCGTATCTCTGAACTGAAAGTGGGATCTATGGCACAAACAGCAAAGTAACTTCCGCTGAACAATAAAACTGCCAGAGATCTGCACCATAAAAAAAAAACAAACACGGGGTCTAAGGAGTGTGAAGTTTTTAATCTTAGTTTTTCTGTGGTTGAGAAATGCTGATATCACACAGGAGTCCCTGCAGAGACCAGGGGATGGAGGAGGTGGGAAGGAGAATAAATATGGGAAAGGACAAGCCATACATTTGTGGCCACTGTGATAAAGGCCAGCGGATGAGCAGACAGGAACTAACACAGCACCCTCTTCTGAATCACGGGGGATAGTTAGTGGATTAAACCAAAACCCTATTCCATCTTGTGTCTAAATTGGCTGATCGTTTCTCTCTAACATTCTCTAACAGCCCCATCGAGCATACAGGATTACAGCAGAACGTGAGATTTGCCAGAGGTCCCTATTTACTCAGCTGGCTGTCGAGTCAGCAGCATAATCCTGGCCGCAAATACGCCTGACAACTTGTACTCCTAAAATCCTTGTTGCCATGTAGAACTGCTGCTGCTTCAGAAATCGAGCATAACGTCGTTAGGGATGGCATTGGATGGACCCAGAATACATTAACATATTTCAGCCACTTTGCAAGTTCATTCGTTCAGGGAGCGAACAGCAGAAGCCAATGGCTGCACGTTTCAAAACCGAGACTAATTTTATACTAAACACGAGCATCTTTCTCAAGCTATTTATATTCTGTAGAACAGCTTTAGCATTATCTACTAAGTTTAACAGATAGTGACAGCTGCTGCCCAAGCAAGAAAATAAAACAATGCTGTCAAGTTAATTAATTTTTAATGTGATGAATTATTATTACATTCAGAGTGAACCATTTAAATGGTAAGACAGGATCGGCACTCGGGGAAAGAATGTATTTTTAGGGATGCATTTAAAAATTAGTCCTATTTATTTTTTCTCAATTATATCAGAGCAGTGTTTTAACTTCTCTCGGATTCAAAGATCTAATTTCATTCCGATTGTTAATGCAGCAGCAGCACCACTCGTCAGTGATGTAAAAGAGAATGAGATCTGTCTCATTCACCTTTGATAAGATACAGGCACTGAGAAGTTGTCTTTTCTCACTGCTGTTGGCAGGACAAGGTACTTGCTCTGCAGCATCTGTAACCTACTGCTCGTGCTAGAGCAGAAAAGCAGTCTTTCACTGCTGTGAAACAAAGTGAAAATAATAATTAGAGGTGATACTAACATCTTACAAATCTTGGGTTGTCATCCTGATGACCTGCATAAAGATGGACTTCTGTGGATTCCCAAATAAAATCAATGTATTTGTGCAGAGATTCTATACAAAGGAAATGAACTGCACAAACCTAAGAAAACATCTTGGGTTCACTGGAACAGCCACTGTTTGCAGGATCAAGACTCCCTCTTTCACTAAACAAAGCATAAATCTAAAGAGCAATCCCAGTTTTGCTTCTGTAACTTACTTGGATTTTATGAGATGGATTAGTAGGAAAAATTCCTAAAATAAACACCTCATATTTAACGCCTGGATTTTTGGTATAGAGAAACTACTGTGCTGCAATGATGTGGGTTTCTTTTTTAAGTTATGAGTCATGATGAGCAGATGCCCATTTGCTGCTGCTGCCTTTTTTTTTTTTTTTTTTAATCACTAGGTAGCAACTTCTTCTATCAAAAAATATTTGAGCAGGTAGACCACCGTTTCCATGCCTCTTTGTAAAAGCTCAGAGTATTTACATTCCTCCAAACTACTTCATCCAAAGGAAAGCCTTTATTCCCCCCCACCCTCCTTGTTTTTTCTGTAACTTGCTATTTTGGTAGGCAACACAAAAATGCACAAACCTTTGAGGATTCGCTTATCTTGTGTGGACGACAAATCCTGCTTTGCCTGGTTCCCTCCATGACAGGCTGATCCACAGCACCTCTAGAACAAAAGCAGAGGAAGATGTTAGCAGCACCCCGAGCCTTTCGAGTGCTAAAACCCTGATTGTGCTGAATAAACAACACGATTCAGACCACCTGCACACGCTAATCTGCGGCTTGAAAACGCTTTGAGTTAAAAAAATAAATAAAAATTCGCACCCTGATGCTGTTTTCTCCCGTTATTAGCGCTCGGTTGTGTCAACAAGTCGGGTGTGTGCCCGGGTATAATCACAGCCCAGCGCGGATGTTATCGATGGTAAGTTATTTACTTACTGCTCGTCCTCCCCACAGCTGCCCGGGCTACAGCCATTTCCCTTCCCTCGCCAGCCGGGCCCCCTTTAGGAGCCCAAACCCCCGCCGGGGCCGGCGACACCCGGCTCCGCTCCAGCGCATCCTCCGCGGGCTACATCGGCCGGAAAAAAAAAAAAAAAAAAAAAAA